AGGAACTGCGGACACACGACAGGCCCACGTCCCTCCTGCCCCCTCCCCTGCCCCGGGGGCAGCAGGGGGGCTGCACTCACGTCTCTGGGCGGGGGGGAGGTGAAGGACTGGTCTGTCCTGCACTGGATCGCCAGGCGCACGTCGTCCGCGTCCACGCTCGACTTCTTGGCGTGGCTCGAGTAGATCTTGGCATCCTCCAGGATGGTGGTCACGTACCCTGGGGGGACAGCTCAGTTCAACCATTCCCTCCCAGCCCTGGCACTGGAAATACGACTCCCTGCAGGGTTATTGCTCACACTGCCAGGGCAGGGTTCGATGGAATATTGGGAAGGAATTCTTGGCTGTGAGGGTGGGGAGGCCCTGGCACAGATTGCCCAGAGAAACTGTGGCTGCCCCATCCCTGGAAGTGTCCAAGGCCAGGTTGGACGGGGCTTGGAGCAACCTGAGCTGGTGGAAGGTGTCCCTGCCCATGGCAGGGGGTGGGAATGGGTGGGCTTTAAAGTCTCTTCCAACCGAAACTACCCTGGGCTTTGTGACTCTGTGATTACTTTCAAAGAATCCCAGAATTAAGGCTGGAAAAGATCTCCGCGACTACCGAGCCCAGTGGTTAAAGTCTGAGACGGGAAACCCCCAAGGGAACACGGATACAGCACTGCCCTGCTCTCACAGCACTGCCCTGCTCCCCTCAGCCTTTCCCCGCGCCCCTCCCGCGCCGGCCCCGGCCCCGCTCACTGTAGGCGAACTCCAGCATCTGGTTGATGACGCGCGGCTCGTACTCAGTGATGCCCATGTCCTTGAGGATCTGCGCCATCACCTGCGGGGGGAGAGGGGCACGGCTCAGCCGCGGGGAGCCCCCGCCGCCCCGCTGCCCCCGTGCCCTGTGCCCGCGGTACCTGCGCGTCTTTGGGGGCGCTCTTGGGGGACGCCATCTTGGCCGCCTCCATCGCTCCCGCTCACGTGACCGCCGAGCGGCGCGCGGGGCTACGGCGGCCGCGAGGGCTCGGTTGCCATGGAGACGCGGCCAGGCGCGGTTGCCATGGAGACGCTGCATGGCGGGGCAGAAATTCCTTGTAATATAAATATTCCTGGAGACCAAGTGATCCACAGAACAAATGTGGTGGATCCAGGGATCCGTCCCCTGTCCCCCCTGCTTCAGACAGCCCAGTGCCCCCGCCTCCCCCGTGGTCCAGCAGGAGGGGATGTTTTGTTACTTCATTACTGGCTTTGAAGCCACTTTTTAAATTGCTGGCATTCCCAGGGTTAGATAAAAACGAAAGTGTGTTCCTGTGTATTTCCACTGCTCTGAAAATAACTGGTTCCACTTAGGAAGCAAATTTAAAAGCTTTTTCCAGCTTGTTTTCGTGGCAGCTGGATGGATTTGAAAGTCATGTAGAGCATGTTCCATGCGGGTCTCATCAAAGTTTCTCCCTTTCAGAGACAAAACAGAACCAAAGATAAAGTTTTCTTGAGATTTTGCCAGACAGGGATCAGCAGCATTCCAGGAGCAGTTGCAACATGTTGTTACTGCCCGTGATGGTCCAACTGAAGCAAGAGCTGGAGGACGAGGATGTCCCAGGGACTCCCACTGAGCTTCCCCAGGGAGGGGGGGAAAGGAACAGCAGCTCCCTCTGCTCCCTCTGCTCCACCTTGTACCTCACTGCAGAACGTTCCAGCAGCTGCCACATTCCATCTGCTCCCCATCCCCACCCAGGAAGGTGTCCAGTACCTGGATCAGCCAACTTGGATGGAAACACATCCCAAAACTTTGGGGGTGCTGGGCTCACCTTGCTGGGGGGCAGGAGCAGCCCCGTGGCTCCAGCAGTGCCTGCAGGGGCTGGAAAACCCTCACCCAGCATGAGGGGCAGGCACAGAATTCCTGAGCCAAGGAGCTTGGCCGGAGCACCGCAGCTCCGAGGCCAAGTCATTTGACTTCCATGAGTCAGAGCGTTACACAAAAACATCCTGCGAGGAGGAGGGAGGAGGAATTCCAGACACTGACCTTAGACAACAAACAAAATCCACTTTTTTTCCCTTGTTCTAGGGAAGGGGGGGGAGCTCTTCCACCGCAGGCTCTGGGTCAGGCTGGAACTTGGCACATGGGGCTGTGGCTCTCACTCCATTTGTTCCTGAGGCAGGAGAGAAAATGATGTTTGAACTGCAGTGAGACTCTGGATTTACCCCCAAAACCCCCTGGATCCATGCTGGGAAACCTTCCCCACCCACCCACAGGTGATATTCCAGGCTGGGAAGCACGACCAGGAGCTACCCGCAGGATTTCTGTGGGAAACCAGCAGTGAGGAGGAGACACGGAGAGCCACCTTCCACAGAGGAGACAGTTGTCCTCGAGGCCACAAACACCTTCCTGGTCATGGAAGCTTCTCCCCATAGCAAGTCCTCAGGGGCACGGCTGTACTGGGAATCATGGAATCATCCTAGATCATGGAGTCCAACCTATGCCCCATCCCCCCCACCTTGTCCCCCAGCCCAGAGCACTGAGTGCCATGTCCAGTCCTTCCTTGGACACCTCCAGGGGTGGGGACTCCACCACCTCCCTGGGCAGCCCCTTCCAATGCCCCACCATCCTTTCCATGAAGAAATTCCTCCTGATATCCAACTTAACCTCCCCTGGCACAGCTTGAGGCTGTTTCCCCTTGTCCAGTCCCTTGTTCCATGGAAGTAGAGCCCGACCCCCCCCAGCTCCCCCCTCCTGTCAGGGAGTTGCAGAGAGCAAGAAAGTCCCCCGAGCCTCCTTTTCTCCAGGATAAATGTCTGAATTCCGCATTCTGTGGGCACTGAGCATTGCTCCAATGGAAGAGCATCCACCCTTCCTCTTCACTCAGACACTGGGCTTGTTTTCAGCACTGGAAAACAGGAAATGGGGTCATGGTGTGTCCCGGCCGAGCTCCGACTCCTCCATCTGCCACCACCGAGCCGAGGTCGTTCATCCCAGGCAGTGTCTGCCAGCTGGGAATTATCTGCCCCGGGAAATCCGGAGCACAGCCCGGGCGAGCACACACCAGGCACGGCTCTGCTCAGGGTGCAGGATTTAAATCCCACAAATTTTAAATCCCTGCAAGTGTCCAAGGCCAGGCTGGACGGAGCTCTGAGCAACCTGGTCTAGTGGAAGGTGTCCCTGCCCATGGCAGGGGGTGGAGTGGAACGAGATGGGCTTTAATGTCTGTTCCGACCCAAACCAGCCTGTGATCCCACAAAATTTAACTGGGAATTTCTTCACAGACAGGAGGTGTTTAAGGTGTAGCCAAGCAGAACCATGGCACACACACAGCTTTTCTTGTTTAGAGGTGTCCAAGTGCTTAAATCCCCTGAATAAACACCCACAGCCAGTGCTTCTGCCTGTTGGAAAGGGCAGCAGGAATCTCCCCAACGTCAGAACTGGGATGTGCTGGACAATGCAGTGACTGTGCTCAGCACTGACCTTTCCAGCCCAAATCCCACACTATTTGGCTCCAAAAAACTCTGGCTTTTGAACAGCCCTTCAGAGTAGAGAAGCTGCAAGAGCTGAGCTCCGAGAAGGACAGGGGAGGTTTGTGTTGTACCTGATACCCCTCTCACTTCTGCCAGCACCCCATTCCCGGGTTATGGAGGAATTCCTTAGGACTGTGGATGGGCACATCCTTCTGCAGGGTGTCCCTGTCCCTCTGGCTGTAATTCCAGCCTCCCAGAGCCTTCCCATGGGTTTTCCCTCACATTGGCCCCCATCACCCTCATCTCCCCCCTCCTGGCACTTTCCAGCTCGTCATCCCTGATCTTTTCTCAAGTGGAAAGTAAATCCAGGCTGAGTGTCCGACTGTCTCATTTGCAAGACTGGTGGTCAAATAAAGCCCCTCCCATCCTCTCCTCCTCACCAAGCTCCTGGGAAAAGATCTGTCTGGTTTTTAGGACCTTTCTGTTACTCACAAACCTGGGAAACAGAACTCACGTCCCTTCCTTCCCACAGGAGCCAAGAGGTGCAGTGCAGGTTAAGCCAGGCCAGCTCTCTGCTCTCTCAAGTGGATGAAAAGCAACCTGTAAAATGCTGGAAAAGAAAATGGCAAGGAATTCCTCATTTTGTGGGATTATGAACACATTCCCTTCTTCCTAAAGGTCAAGTCACTGCTCAACCCTCAGGTGTGTCCCAGCACCATCCTGACCTCACACAAAGTGGTCCAGGAATTCCCACGGCTTGGTCCCTGCTGACACAGCTCCGGGGGAGGAAAAGGACAGTGATATTCCAAGGGTCCCACAAATAAAATAGTCTTTACAGAAGAAAAGTTATTTCAGTTCCTAATGCCACTGAGCACGTTCCTTCACCTCAAATTCCACATGACACAAACGAGACTAAAACCCACAAAACCACAGGAGCCCGGAGTCAAATTTGAATACATTTGTATTATTTATTGGCTGTATTAAATATATTATCTATTTGATAGTTACAATTTAGTAATACAATGCATGGCAGCTTTAACATACGTTTGAAATACCTCAAAAATGACAATACAAGAAAACTGAAGATACCTAAAAACATTAATGCCACGAGGGTACATCCTTCTGGAATGGACAACAGCTGATGGAAAAATCCGTATTGCAGTATAAATCCCAGTTGTTTCTGGAATTATGAGTATTCTGTGGCAATTACAAAAGGATTTTGTTTTTAGCAGTCATGACTTGTTAGTATTTACTCTGCGTTCCTAATTTCTTTTTTAAATGATCAGGAGTATTATTGCCAAATAACCCTCTACGAGTTGGTTCAAGGAGTTAAGAAATAACCCTTTGGCAACAGAGATTTCTGAAGGCAGTTTATCTGGGTTTTTTTATCAGTTTATCTGCTAAAGGGAGGCTATGAGGAAAATAAAGACAGATTGTAAACTCTTCTGCAAACTAAAGACTAATATCTGTATAAAACTCTTTCCGACACTGGAGGGAGAGATTTCTATGATATAATAAATGATTAACTTAAAGTTCTGCTACAAGTAGAACAATACATTCAAACATACATTTTTTTTTTCCAGGACTTTTAATCAAAATAAATAGAGTACAAAATGAAGAGTACGTTTTGAAAAGATTAATTTCAGATTGCACCATAAATCTACTGTGAAGAGGATTAAGCATTACTAGGCCATAATTTAGGTTTTCCACATCTGAAATACAACACAATGCCTCAAACTAACACGACTTTATTCCTCAACTGCCGTAGGAGAAAGACCCTCAAGGTGGTGAATTCATGACTGGAAACACGGCGCCTGTAGCTCTGTCACATCCACCCTCCCACGTACAAGTGCATCGCTCTGATGTACAAAGTGGAGCCACAGACTTTGCAAAACACCCTAAATCCACCTTTCTGTGGCATATTCCAAACGCTGTTGGCAAGACCCATCCTGAAACATCGGGAATTTGTGAGTTCCAGCTTTCAAAACCTTTACCCAACGGAGCCAGGAGCTGTGAGGCTCCTCCTCAGGGATTCACAAGCAGATGGAACACAACAGTCAAATGTAGTGCACAGTGTCCACAAAAATATCCCCCAGCCAACCAGGACGAGTTTCAGACAAGTTCATAGCAGGCTGAACATTCCCAACAGGAAAACCATGGAATGTGAAGCTGCTACCACTGGGATAGCAAGTCGTTTAAAACATCGTATAAATGTTATCTAAAAAGAGCTCTCTCACGTACAATTTGATCGTTGGGGTTAAGTTAGAAGGGCACCCAAAAGCAGGCTGAACTTTTTATTTTTCAGGTTAATAATAGTACAAAAATTGCTCAGTTTGAGCCAAATAGTGTAACATTTATCATAAATGCACTCTTTCTCCTTGAAGACAACAACACCTGTGCTGTTCTGAGCACGCTGCACAGGGAATTACTTTTCTCTCAGGCACTGAGAGTGAAATGTGGATTGGGCCAAAGCTGCTCAGGACAGCAGGAACGTTCCGGTCACAACAGGGGCCTTTCCTCCGTGTCCTGCTCACGCTCCAGCTGGCATTGATTTGGATTAAAACTCTAAAAAACTGGCACCCTCTACTCCAACACTTGAAATGATTATTACTGAACCCCAAATATTAAAATAACTGTAAAGTAGTAATATCACTAAGTCAATATTCTGCTTTCCTTCTACAGTCTAGTAAATGTGGTATGCTCTAGTAGGCTCTGCAGTTCTGCTCTAAGCTCAAGCACTTGTGCTGCTGGATTTCATGGATATCAACTACAACAAAACCTGATGGAACAGCGATCGCCTCCCGCTGCTCTGGTGGTGCTGGCAAAGGACTGTTCTAGCAATGCCTTCCCTCTCCGAGCAGCTGGAATCGGGAGAGAGGAGGAGGGTGCACACCCCCAGCGTGCACCGTAAGGCAGTTTAGTGCTGTTCTCTGACAGCTCACCCTGATTGCAGAGGACCCAGAATCACCCTTTCTACAAGAAACGTGCGCTCAGCATTTGGAAAGGATCTGCCAACCCAGCCTCAGTGGCAGCCAGCAGCAGGGCGGGAACGCACGGGGCCGTTCCCAGCTAGGATTTTCATTAGGACTAACCATAAATACCCGAAAGAGCTTCTGTACAAAGGGCTGAGCAGGGCCGGGCCCAGCCCTACTTGATGACGAAGTACTGGATGACGACGGCGAAGAGGATGGCGACGACGGCGAAGCCGCAGAGCAGCACGATGGCGATGAGCCGCTCCTCGCGCAGCCGCGTCCCGCTCTGCGCCAGCTCCGGCCCGGCGGCGGGGCAGGGGGGGCCCTGCTCCTGCCGCTGCGCCGAGAACACCGTGCTGGGGCTGTAGGGGCCCAGCAGCTCCGGGGGGCCCGCGGGGTCCTGGCTCTGCCGCCCGGCGCAGACCCGCACGCGGTACTCACAGTTCGACTGCACCCCCGGCAGCCGGAACGACGTCTCGGGGCCCTTGTACACCTGGGGGGGACATGGGACAGTCACACAGGAGCCACCCCACACACTGCACCGGGACCTCCTGCTCCTCCTCACAGGGTGTGCAGTGCTGGGCACCTCCTGGAGTCACAGCATCACAGAATGTGCTGGGCTGGAAGGGACCCACAAGGATCATCCAGTCCAACCCTCAGCCCTGCACAGGCCCATCCCCAGGAGTCACACCACGAGCACATCCAGAGGATCAGCCAAACCCTCCTGGAGCTCTGGCAGCCTTGGGGCTGTGCCCACTGCCCTGGGGAGCCTGGGCAGTGCCCAACCACCCTCTGGGGGAAGAACCTTTGCCTGAGATCCAACCTGAGCCTGTCCTGACACAACTCCAGCCATTCCCTGGGGTCCTGTCCCTGGTTTCCCCAGAGCAGAGCTCAGTCCTGCCCCTCCTCTGCCCCTCACAAGGAAGTTGTAACTGCCATAAGGAATACCTTCCACTAGAAATAGCCACATCTTTTTGTTTGTAATAATTTTTCCAAGTAAAAACCCCTCAAGTTCCTGATGTTGCACAGAAGGTACCTGATCAAACTCTCTGCCAGCAGCAAGCTGAAGGATGTAAACAATGGAATCTCCTTTCATTGGCTGGAGAGGCTCCCATGTGATTTCATAAGTGTTTTCTTCCAGCTGATTTGCTTTGGGTGCTGTGGGAAAATAAAGGGATTTGTTGGAGTTTTCAGAGAAAAAGAGGTAATTCATTCCAATTCCTTAGAGGTAATTCATTCCAATAATTTTAAGCAATTAAGATTTGTTTGTTTATTTCTTTTTCTTTTATTTCATGACATAAGCTTAAAAAATGATCACTGAGTTACACTTGTCTGTCTTTTAGAGCTGACAGATGCCTAATGCTTGTAGGGAGGAGCAGCACTTTCAAATCACTACAGAAACCAGCATTTCTGTCCATGCCCAGAGGTGAAATTACATGTTATAAACATGGTTCAGTCAATTAATTTTCCTGCAGGCCCTCAGCACTCTGATCTTCAGAATGACTTTACCAAGAACCTTTGAGGTTCAAGTAAGAAAGCGAAGACCAGAGGAATTATTTGTGCTCTCATTTGCTACACGCTCTTGTAACTTACACCAAATGATGGGTAACCCTGAAAAATGCCTTTCCAATTGAAAAAAGGTTGGAATGCTTAGTTCAGGGGCGGAAGAGCTGCAGTGCAGGAGCCCTTCTCATACCCACAAAGCCCCTCACAACCAGTTCCCATTCTCTGTCCCTCAAGGCCCTGGAAAGACTCTGGGCTGGGCAGTGTCAGGCTGTAGGAATCTTGCACAGAAGTGGCTTGCAGAGGTTCCTGGGGCAGGGCCAGCTCACCTTTAAGAGATGCAGGTGGAGATTTAGTTGTAGTGAAAGCGTAAACTTGGGAAAACCCTCCCTCTCCAGCGTCGTTGTAGGCCTGGATCCGGAAATAGTACGTAGTGGATTCACTGAGCCTCTGTACCTTGTAGGTGTGACAGGGACCATTATAAACTGTAACAAACCTGGAAACACAGAGAACACACACAGTTCAGTTACTCAGCAATCACAAACGTCTAGCTCAGTATCAGAAGTGGAACACTTGTTTTAACTTAAGGACAAGGAGGTGACACCACACTCTGGGTGTCCCAGGTTTCTCCCCATGTGCACACTGGCCATCCCACTGAGGCTGCAGGACCCAACTCCTGCTCCAAATCAAGAGAAGAACCCTTGAATGTACCAAATAAATTGAAATTTCAAGTTAAAGAACAGCTGGCCACTCTGTGTTTCTTTTATGCAAACTGCACTTCGTTTTAGAATTTCCAAAAAATAAAACCCCTGCCAACACAGGATAATGGCAAGATGTTTATTATTCAAATAGTAAATAGTATTTACTGTTAAAAAAAACAAATAGAAGTGCAAGGTATTGCAGAAGTGTAAGTTATTTGACAGCATTTCTGGTTGAAAGATGGGATGCAAAGCTGCAAACTAAGGGGAAAACTCTGGGATGCCCAAGTGACTCACTAGTGCAAGCAGAAGGAAAAATACCTAAAATACCTTAAAAACTTGACATGAAGTAGTAAATCAACAAGAACTTACCTGCCAAACCTGTCCTCCATCTGCAAGTTGAACTGTGTAGGGTTGGTAATTAAAGCTCTGCTGGGCCCTTCTCCCCATTTGAGTTTAAGGCTCTGGTAGCTGAAGACCACACATTCCAGATGAGGAGGGTCAGGAGGTAGTGGTTTGGTTTTGGCTTTCATGGAATGACTGAAAGGACCGACTCCAAGGCTGTTTATGGCCTGTATTCTGATTCTGGGAATGGGAGAGAGCAGCTATGTGGTCAGGAAAAATGCTGGGTAATAAAACAAGAGTTAAAAGGTACAGAATATAACTGCATACAATAAAGCAATTAAAATGCAGTCAGAAATTAAAACTGCAGACCCCTAATCTGAACTCAGCTTTAACCAAGACTGAACACGTGACACAGGAACACTTATTGACCTGTCCATCCATCCTCCTTTGGCCACACACCTGATTATCCCTTTATATGCTTCACAATGAAAAATTCTAACCCCAGAAATCTCAGAACTAGGCCTTGGCTTTGAGACAGAATGTGAATTTAACACCACGATCTAACTCCTGCCAATATCATGCTCTGAGTCTGGATAGGACAATTTTGGGGTGATTTTCTGGGGCTGCAGGGTGAATTAGGCAAATAGTCCGTCAGCTGAATGAAAAACTGCTCTAAACATTTACACCACTACCCTCAAAGCTATTCTTTTAAATCCTACCAGTGTGGTTTCAAAATAAACCAGTTATTACCTGTACAGAGTGTCAGGCAGCAGATTCTCCAGGACATGAGTTGTGTTCCTCCCCACAGTGACCAGCTGCTTTTCCCCATACTCTATGTTGTACCCTGTGATCTCAGCCCCGTGGCAGCAGGGCTCTTCCCACTGGATTGCAAGGCACGTGGAGAAGGGAGCAGAGATCTCCATCTGCTCCTCCTCCAGGAGGTGCAGCACGGCCACGGCTGCGGGCACCGACGGCGGGGTGGTCACCACGCTGGTCTCCCCAAAGAGCCCCACTCCAGCCACGTTCACAGCCTGAGAAAACAAACCAGGGACAGTTCACCAAAGCTCTTTTCTACCCAGGCTGTCACATCTATCACACCTTTCCATGTGTTCTTAAAGCAGCACGGAAGAGAATGGAAAATCTCCCGAATAAAATGGAAACACAGCAAAGTGTCTGGATTTCAAGGCACACTGGGTCTGACCTCTCTTCTAGATACAGGGAATTAGGAGGGACTGGGGGAGAAGGGGAACTATTTTTCCCAGTTACCTCCTAGGTGACAGCACATGACTTTATTCCTCTCTAGCTGGATTTTCTCCAAACTGCAAGAACTCGACGGTGTGCTCAGTGACAGCAAAAGGCTTTTCCTACCTGTACCCTGCAGTAATAGGTGGTTGCAGGTGTGAGCCCTTTGACTTCATAGCTCTGGCAAGGGCCAGTGTAGATGATGTGCATGGATCCTTCCACCTGGCCCCAGTCCAGCCTGTATTCCATGATTTCTGCACCGTTGCACGCCGGGCTCTGTGGGGTTAGAGGACAAATTCAGTTCAGCTGTTGCACTTACACATTCACCACACAGATGGGATCTACTGCTACACTGAGCAGAGACACAGAACTGTTAAGGTTGGAAAACACCTCCAAGACCACCAAGTCCAACCTCTGGAAGCACTGGGATTGAAACCTGAGGTCTCTTCCCAGGGATTTTAAGTTCAGCTTGTTAAAAGGTGACACGTGGCTGTAACATCACCACAGTTCAGACCACAGTTTTCATTCACTCACAGTCTCTCACCAATTAGATGAACTAATCTATTACATATTAGTTACCATAACATAAGGAGGATTAAATGTCACCCAATTTGTCCAGTTAAGACTGAAATTAGTAACTCAAACCAAGTTTACAAACCCAACATAAACATCTATAAAGAACTGGCCTTAAAATATTCCAGCTCTACATATGTTATTTCTCCCATTTCTGTGTACCACACACATGTCACTACAACTCTAAAAGCCAAACACCAATCTGGGGGTTACTGAGAGCCATCAACACCTACCTCCCAGGAAACCACAGCACAAGTTGCACTCTTACAGGTTATCAGGGGTTTGCAGCACTGCTCGGGGGGGCCCGGAGCAGTGGAGAGCTCTGCCTTGTCAGAGTAGGGGCCAAACTGCAGGGAAACACAACTGCATGAACACAGCAACAGCACCAGAGCAGGAACTGATGTGCAGGTGAAGAAAACAAACCATTTTAAACTTGACAGAGCAATAGATAGCAGAGCCCAGTGCTCAGTTCCACAGCACCACTGAAGATCCCTTGCAGGTAGTTTACTCTAAGCTGGCCCCATTCCCACAGGAATCTGAGATCCTCCCACTCCAGGGCTGTGTAACTCCTCCCTTCCCCAGCCAGGATCTGGCTTCCAGAAGCAGCTGGGGACTGTTTCACAAAGACTTTTATGCAACCAACATTTCTCCCACCCTTTTTTCCAACCTGGCATGGCTTGCACACACCCCTCTCCACACAATGCTGTTCCCACACCACCAGCTGCAGAGTGTGAGCTCACTGGAACACATCAAACAATTTCTTAAGGCATTATTAAGTGGTTCTTCACACAACACAAGCTACAAAATATCCTCAGACTTCTCCAGCAGCACCATCATTGCACACTCTGGTGAAGAACAGATGAGATGTGGTTTGGCAGTGGTTACCCCGACTTTATTCCCTGCCCGGATCCAGAAGCAGTAGGTTCTCCCTGGAAGCAGGTTGGTCACTACATACTCAGCTGCTGGGCCCTGATACACAACCCTGTGTTCATCCTGTTCAGAGTTTGCCATTTCCAGAATATATTCTGTAATGTCAGAACCTCCATCTACGGCTGGGGGGCCTAGGAAACAAAAACAGATTGGTTTTTCCAGTATTAATTGCTAAATTCCAGAAGTTAGGGCAAGTTTTTATCATATATCTGAGCAGAAACACTTCATGGAGCTTGCTTTTCCCCCCAGATATCGATAGTTTAAGATGGCCCTCATCAGGTTTTTTCCCCAGGTATTATCCCTGTTTTCTTCATAAAACAGTGTATCTTTGACTGTCTCCTTTACTGAGGTAACAACAAGAAAAGAAGAACTGATTTTTAAATTGCCAAACAGGAGTCAGTCATGGGCAGGCAGGAAGATTTCTCACTGGCAAATATTTATGTCTGCATAAATCTCACTGTATCACTCAATCAGAGGCAGTCTTCTTAAAAAAAAAAACACAAAAAAACCACCCAAACCTAAAAACCACCTGAGGGCACAGCCTGCATCTTGATATTTCTATTTTTACTTTCTTCCCTAAGAAGTTCTACAGACTGTTGTTATTTGGACAGTTAAAATCAGAGGAGCATTTTGCTCAAACCCTGTGCTCACCCCACTGCAGAGGGATTTCCTTGGGCTTGGCTTTGCCTGCCAGGGCTGGAGCAGGACAGGGGCCGGGGGGAACCGCCGACATCGTGACCGTCGTCACATCGGAGGCCTGGCAGTGGGACAGGTTAGTTTAGAGCAGGAACACAAAAACATTTCACTAAAACATAACCAGAAATGGCTTCCAGATGCCCAGTTGCTGTGATTTTGCTCACCTGGCTTTCCCCACCTTTACTGACACAAGACACTCGCAGTCTGTAGGAGGTGCCGGGCCTGAGGTGGTCACACACGTGCTCCCTCTGGGCCCCGCTGTACACCGTGTCCCACTTCCCTCCTGAGCAAAGAAATGAAACACTTTGCACTCCAAAACCTCTGCAAAATCCCACGTGAAAATTCTCTCACCCAAACACAACAGTCAAGCCAGAGAATTGATTTTAAATGAGTGATTACACAGAGAACATGCACGACGTGTTACAACTGACTGCTCGAGCAACGAGGAAAGACTCATTCAGGTTGGAAAAGATCTCCAAGATCATCAAGTCTAAGCCATGTGCCCAAGTTCCACATCTACATGTGATTTAAACACCTCCAGGGGTGGAGACTCAGTACACTCAGCACCCAAAGGTGATCCCTTACCAGCTGATGCTTCCGAGATTTCCAAAAAGTATTTAGAGATGTCTGATCCTCCGTTATCTTTGGGAGGTTCTGAAAGAAACCAACATCTTAAATCATGGGAGATTTTAAAACCAACCATTATTTTTTTATCAGTTTGTTGAGACAACATACTCACTGACTGCAGAATACATTCAAGTAGAAAACTCCAACAGAAACAGAAACCAGTGTTCTTAATTATTCACAACATGTTTTTCAGAGCAATTTTTTTTCCTATTATTAATCATGATTATGCCAGGAAGAATAACTAGGAAAATAGTGCCAATTGCAGGTATCAGCTCTTACTTTTTAAGAGCACATGAGATTTCTCTAAAATGAATGAAGAAAACCATCACTTTTGTACTACAGCCCCCAAATAAACCATTTTTTGCTAATGCTGAGTATTTCTCCTGCAATAATAGTATCTGCAGGAACAAATAAATAGCCTGAGCTCTCTGATTTGATCTGCACCCCTGAGGGACTGCACATACACAGTTCAGTGCAGCACTGGAATACCAAAAGGCACCTACCCCACACAACTTTCACACTGTGGGAGTGGATCTTGCCCTTTACAACTGGTTTACTGGGGGGTCCAGGTTTGTCAGGATTGGTGCTGTGTTCCACCACCTCACTGGGACTGCTTTTTCCTTCACTGTTGTAGGCAAAGAGCTGTTTCGGGAGCGAAAAGAGTAACTTCTTTATTTAATGACAATAGTATCTATTAACAACATAAAATGACAGTAAATATACTGCTGATTTACAAAATTCTTCTATTAAAAAAGCAACCAAAATAAAGACAACAATTTAAGAGAAAAAAGAACTAGTTAGTGCAGAAAATCTGATTTGTTTTAGGATTTCGCCAAAACCTGTTCCAACAACAGATAATTTCCTGCTCTCAATACAAAGTGTCTGAGCTGCATGAAAATGCCAAACCCAGAAAAGCACAGTCATCATTAAATCAGAATAAAATACGAACCCTGAACCTATAGGATGTGCTCCTCCTAAGGTTTCTTAAAGTGCATGAGAGCTCATCTCCGTTGTACTGGGGCTGGAATCCATAACCCTGGGAAGGAGGGAAAACAAGGACAAACACAGTCACTCCTTTTTAAGATAGAACAAAAACCCAGAGCAGGTCCATCACGATATTTTTAGCTTGAACTTCATCTCTTTATCATGAATTACGTGAAAGACTTGGCAATTCAAAGGTAAAACAGAGTTAATTTTTTATTTCAGCACCACGGAGGATCAAGTATTTGACGTGTGCAACAACCTCAGCACTTACAGAACCTTCCTCTTCCATGTCCAAGGTGTAAGTGAGGGAATCATCTGAGGACACCCCAGGGGGTGGGATCCACCTCAGGGCCATCCAGGTCACTCCTGCTTCCAGCAGCACCGGGGGGGCTGGGGCTGGGGGCACCATCCCGGCCGTGTAGTACGACACCGGCTCGCTGAACCCACTGGGGAGGGATTGCACACAACATCAACAGCAGCACAGGGGGCTGAGGAGGAAATAACTGATATCACAGATTTGGGTCGTTACCTCATTCCAATATCATTTTTAGCAGCCAATCTCAGCGAGTATCTTGTGGAGGGAGAGAGTTTGGTGAGTTTGTACTGCTTCAGGTGCCCGTAGTAACACTCCTTGAAGGGGCCGCTCTTGCCCTGAAAAAATGAGAACCAGAGTCACTTCTTGCACTGGGACTGCTGAACTCCACCAAGGGTCTGCCTGATCCCTGCCAACGTCACCCTCTTCACTCTAAATCTCCTAAATCACAGCATTCCACACTGGTTTGGGTTGGAAGGGACCTTAAAGCCCATCTCATCCCACCCCCTGCCATGGGCAGGGACACCTTCCACCACAAATGTCATTTCATCGTTTAATAATAATGAAAAACCTAAAGAATGCAAAATCTAATGTCATCATGGTCATACTGAATATGCTGATGGTCATTCTGAGCATTCCTGAGAATAAACCACATTTGGATTGAGGTATCTGTTTATTTTGAATAATGTAGATTTAACACAATAAACAACTGTAGTTGAAAACAAAACATATTTTTGACATTTTTTATCCCTTTGAATACATCTCAGTAAGAAGGCCAAAATCTGAGGGATATCTGTGACAGCTCCCAAAGATACAAATGCTCATCCATTTAAAGAGAGCACAGGAATTAATGATGCTCTGAAAGACAACTGAGGCAGTTTTACACTGTCCCCTCACACTGATCATTTGTCCCTTTAAACTGCCTGGACAGTTGCACTCAAAATAGCTTCTGTACCTAAGCAAAGAGTATTTTTAAATATAATTGCTCTACAGATGTCATTATGATTTTTTTTTGGTACTAGAAAAGGTCTTACCTCATCCCATTCTAAAAGAAAATTAGTTATTTTGGAACCATTGTCATTTGAGGACTGAAAATAAAGAAACAAAGAAAAAAGAGTTAAAATCAAATGGTTGTACTTTTATAAATATTTTTACACATTAAAACAACATTTTAACAATTGAATACAATATACTCCAACTGCCTTTTAAAACAAGGCTCTGGGCTGCTGTGCTACTTCTATTAATTCTGAGAGTTTGGAATATTAACTTAGGTATAGTTCTTTTTTATGAATAAAGCAAGTTATATTCATAGAGCTTGTTTCCTTGTGTCTTGCACTGTGTGCTCAACAACTGAGCAACATTAGTGTTCAGATGAACAACATTTGTGCTTGTTATGACATATAAACTGGGAACTTCTTCATCTTCTAAGTACAGATTATACAAATAATTTAACTGAAGTCACTTAGCTGTAACCATTTTCAGTAGTCAGAAGAAGAAGAAAACACAGCTACCAACAAGTCTTCACAGATACTGTATATACTCAAAAGTCAGATTAAAATGTGTAAATCCACAAAACCAGCCAAAGAAATTTAGTTTGAATGGGTCAGGATAACTATAGGAATATTAACTTATATTTATTTATCATGTAGGAACCCAAGCAAAAACAGTTGCCAGTTGAGAAGAGAACTTTCCTACAGAACACTTCATAAGAGACCTGCTACAAACTCTGCCACACTAAAGCTGTAGGCAAGAAACTCAGTAAACACCAAAAGAGGAAGAAAATAATAATTTCATTATCAGTCTTAACTGAGCAACTTAAGAGGCAACACCTAAAGTACACATTAAATTATTGACCAAGCTAATTTAAACATACTATACATGAATCCAACAGATCCCACTGCACAGCCAGCTCTGCTTCTCACCTTCCACTGCAAACTCAGGCTGTTTTTGGTTCTGTTAATCAGCTTTGGGGCAGCAGGACAGTCTGGCTCACAGCTCTCTGTAGTGAAGCTCACCAACTCTGAAATGGATTCCTTGATGGAACTGCTGGTTGCTGAAACTCTGAACAAAGGAGAGGTAATGATGTTGCTGTTGCATGAGCACCTGGAAATTCCAGGAGAGAGCTGTTGGCTTCAAAAATGCATTTAATCCTAAGCAGGGGCTGCAGGGTGTTTGCACACAGAGCAGAGATGGGATCACATCAGGATCGCACCTGCTGATCCCAGACAGAGCAGGGATGGGATCACACAGGTCCCTGCTGATCCCGCACACAGAGCAGGGATGGGATCACACTGGGATCACACCTGCTGGTCCCAGAGACCCCATTTGTCATCTTCATTTACTTTACAGTTACCCTCTGTCACAACGGACATATTTTAGTGCTGAAATACACGTGGGATGCAGGGTGAAAACTGCAGATGTTCCCAAATGGTAACAGAATCCCCGACTGGAAATGAGCCTTTTACTAAAAAGACTTCAAGATTCAAATACAGCCAATACTTGTGCAAGAGTACAGACACTAAAATGGGCTGAATCAGCTGCTCAGGCCATAAAATTGTGCTTTTTAGGGTAATTGTTCAATCTCTACAAGATTTGTGCTCATTTCTGTGTGTTTAGTTGGCCTGTGTAGAAAACAGCCCCCCAAACCACACATCCTCTGTGCAAGTGGAGCTGTGCTGAGTACTCCACACACTCAGAACATTTCTGCAGCTTAAGAACAGGACTTTGCTTCAGCAAATCTCAAGGCTGCACTGACTCTTCACACGTTCCCTGGCTTGTTTAACCAGCTGGGCTCTCCCTGACCAGCCCCACACCTCCCTCAGCATTATTTACTGTGTGGTACTTCTCGACCGTCACGTCTTGTTCCCTGGTCACATCTGACTTCCCCCTTCAGCCAGTTCCCCATTCCCTCCTTGCACTGCTGCACTTCACACAAGCTACTCTGCAAATCAAGCTGACAAGTCAGACTTTCAGATCCAGTTTCAAGGCTAAGTCATTTCATTTACCACTGCCTTCAGCCTACAACAATCGTCTCACTCAGTCCAATCTTCTTCTAAAGATAGAGAATTACACGGAAAAACTTAAAGTTTGTATTTGAGAAACACAGAGAAAATAGTAAGGAGGAAAATGAGGTGATATTGTAATGAAATTAGAAGGTAAGTTGGAACTTAGACAGCAGAAGCAGTGTCCACAGCCATGGTGTTTTTTCAGAGCGCTCCTCAAACTGTTTGGATCACACCTTTTTTCCATGAAGCCACAGTAATTCTGTAACTCCCCCAGCATTAATTATTTCCGTCCCAGCAGCATACCTGGCATGATAATCAGTTGCTGGTCTGAGATCAGGAAGTGTAATTGTTAATTCCTCCCCACTGTGAAAAGGGAAAAACAAACAAAAAGCAGAGTTACAGCTCCTCCTTAAACCTTCGAGGCTCAAAGCTCATTGAAAAGCAAAACCATGTAGAGCACATTTAATTTTCCCACTGTCCACGTAACTCTTTAGTGATATTACTTAAAATTTATTTCATGTGAAGTAGGAAGGTCTGCAAGTCAACAAACAGCTCCTGATAGAGAGATTGCTGATTGGTTAATGGTTTAAACATGGCAATTGTGCTTAAAGGAAGAAACTAAACTTACACATAGACAGATTTAAATTTTCCATTTTTACCACTGTTGGATATTGCTACTTCAAATGTAAATGCTGCTGGACTATGACTATGGCTCTCTCCATTCTGTGAACTAACTGGGAGATTCCAGGACAGAACGGCTGATCTTGCTTGTATATCAGAAACCTATTAAAAGCATAAATAATGCAAGTAAGTTTGCTTTCTGCAAGAAAAGGTTTGTTAGTCAACAACATGGTGTGGCTAGTTTGCCTATGAAGCTCCTCACTGGAGGAATTCTTTACCTTTGTAGTGGAAATATCGAGGCATTATTTGAATTTCAATTATTTCCTCTTTTCAGTTCTAAACCAGTACAGTAAAGGCTTTCCCTTCAATCACCAAACAAGAGACACATCACACTGGCTCGGGGCAGGGAGAGAAAATTCCTGTGTCACTGTTTGCATCACTCATTTGGAGCAAATTCTCAGCTGTGGAGTCTTGGACACTGCCACCAGATCAGTGCTCAGGCACAGACACCTCATTTTCTTACAGCTCCCTCATGTAACATTTAACCACCAAGCCAAGGGACAGCAAGAGGCTCTGATTTCAAGACTGAAATTTCTTGTCTAAGTTTTTTTTTGTTGCTGGATTCCCACACTCCAAATTCCCTCTGACAAAGGCAACACAGCCCTCTGGTAGCATTAAATACAGATGGTAGAAGCAGCAATGAAAAAATAATAGCGTAACAAAAACCCCTCAAAAACTGGTGTGAAGGAACACAACCTATGTTTGCTGTATAGATAATGCAGAGAAGAGCTCAGTAAACATGCTCAGGATCAAAAACAGACATTTAAATGACCCTCACCAGACTCCAACTTCCTAAATAAGTCTGTACATACTCAAATATTTGCTCCAATTTCTCTATATAATATAAAAAGAGGATCTATTTTTGTCAGTTTTATTCCCAATATTCTTAAATCCTCTATGCTGAGCAAAGGATGGTTCCAAGAATGGACAGACTTGCAATAGTTTAGCAGGCCCTGGGTTTGCAAGGCACTAAAGCTTTGAATACACTAGAAAACTTCAACAGTGGAATATTCTGGGATTAGAGACTGGGAAACTGAGTCAGACAGTTTCAGAGAGCTGAGAAATAGTGAATTTCCACAGCGTGGCTGCTCTTTCCCAGCTATGAACTCTGACAACTCAACTATATCTATTTTCTCTATTTAAAAAATAAACCATTAAGAACAAAGAAAAAGGGATCAATAAGACACAAGTTATTTTATACAAAGCACATCCATGGAAAATAATGGGATTTAAGGGTAATACTTACGACTGGTTTGCCAATGCTCAAGTGAGTATCACATTTCTTGGATTCTGTGTCAGATTCTGAAATTTAAATACAAACCAGATTAATCCCAAACCCTGAGAGCAAGCCAGGCTGTTACCAAAAGGCCACCACGAGATGGAGTTGGCCTCATTAGGACTTTAACAATGGTACTTATTGTGCAAAGTTCATTTCCCCTGTTTGTTTTGGCTGCGTGAGGGGGAGAAACATGAACTGTCCAAAACTAACAGTGTTACAAAAACCCTTTTAGTACATCCTGCACAAAGGGGATCTTTTCCTAATCTCAGCGTAAAGGGGTTTTCTTTGACAACAGAAAAAGATTCCTCTGACAATGAAAGGTGTTAAAAAAAACGACAATAAGATCTTATCTCTGCTTTTTGTGCTTTCCTGGAATTCCTACGGCAAAACAATCACAATCTGGAAGAAGCCGGACACTGTCTCAAACCAACAGCAAAGGCAATCATACTTGCACAAGGTATTTTAGCAGCCAAAGCTGAAATTACAACTGATCAGTCAGCAGCCTGTGCAGATACTGCTCAAATCTTCTTATTTCTTGAAGTATTAAATAGCATCTACTCAGCCAAAAAGTACCACAAAGAATGACACCACAAATCTTAAGTACCTACAGGTCTTCCTCACTTGGAGTATTGATCAGTCCTGGTCACAAATGGCAGGGAAGTAAAAAGGTTTAAAATTCAATTTTCCTAAGGACTTATTTGATAAATCTCAAATGAAGAAACTTGATATTACTATTATTTGTAGAGCAAAAAAAAAAATCTAAATGCAGTGAAAAGTGTTTTGGGCTTTATCTAATACTGAACAGCCAAAGAAAGTTATAAACTTAGAGCTTATTTTGCAGTGAACTTACAGACCTGTTAGAAAAGAATTCAGATTTCTTTTCCCCTTTCAGTGCAACCTACCTCCCATCTCTGCCTCTGGACTGCCCTTTGTTTTTCCTATCTGCTTCTGCTTTAGTGCTCCTCCTGCCCCTTGCTGTCCCTTCCCATTCCCATTGGGAATTGTGGCATTGGAAGAATTAACAACTTTGTGTGGTGAGGAGGGGGGACTGTTCAGTTTATTGTTGGTGTGACCACTGGCTTGTCTGTCTTTTAGTCTCTTCTTCAGGTGTTCCTGCATTTTGAGACTCCTTTCGTCCCGCTGGATGAAGTTTGTCCTTCCATGGGAACGAGGTTCTAAAAAGGAAGGAGAAATTAATTCACTGTTCTGTATCATTTACTTCACATCTGACAAACACTCTGGAAGCTGGAAGAATCACTACAGTAAAACCAGAAGCTGAACCCCTCAGGAACTTTCCTGTGCTCTGTCAGTCTGGAGGGACAGGGATTTCTGAGGTCTTTTTAAACTGAATTCTTCAGACATTCTCCTGTCAGCTGCCCCACATCCTGCCTTACAGCTGCTTTTCTTCCCTGCTACAGACCCATTTGCAAAAAGATAAGCAAATTTAGGACCCAAACTAACTTTTTAAAAACACAGCTTGGGGGCTACTGGGTATTTAACCCTAAACATGAGTCAAAACATCTTAATTATCAATTTAAGCTTGAGAGAGAGAGATAGTGAAGGGTCTTACATAGTTTAATTTCTTTCTGTTTTAACTCTTGATCATTTAATAAGGTATATAATAACTCTGAAGTGTGTAAAAGCTTGGTGTAATTCAGCATGACCCCAGTCCTTCACTGAGATATTGATTCATTCAGTTTTTAAATACAGAGTGGACTTGCATTTCACTCTCCAACACGGATAACTATGTTTTATGGTTTGTAGATAGCATTTTTATTCTCTTTTTAGTCATATTTGGACTCAAAAAAATACATTCACGTATCAAATTAAACACATTTTCAAGCCAAGGCTGTGACAAAACACAGCAGTTTTGGAGAGCACAGTTTTAGGGAGAGGTAGAAGCCACCACTGTGGGATTTACAGCACCAAAAGCAGGGATCTGTGGAAAACACACAGGATCACAACACTTCCCAGGCACTGCCTTTGCAATAAAGATGTAAAAATGGAAGAGCAGCAGATTGAAGGTTTATACAACCCCACTTTGCACTCATTGAGTGCAGACCAGGCTCCTACACACCTCCCCCCCAGGGGGGTGTGCTCTGCCACCGGCCCCAAACCCACGGACAGAGCCACGGACAGAGCCATGGACAGAGCCACGGACAGCCCCTGTCCCACCTGGCTGCCTCCCAGGTGCTCCCTGTGCAGCCCCTGTCCCACCTGGCTGCCTCCCAGGCCCTCCCTGGGCCTCACCTTGC